AAATACAAATTTAGAGTTAGCCATATATCACGGCCCCAGAATTATTCCTCTCACTCCAGTGTGCAAGGTTTTACCCATCATGTATTATATATGTGTATGCATTGTAGGTGTATATACTTTTATGTCCGTGCAGGTGTGTGGCTTCTTTACATCTTTTTTTCTTCAATTTATCTTATTCAGTTATTTTTTTAACTTCCCTTTTATTTATTAATTTTTTCTTCACATTACAGTATTAGTATTGTAATAGCATTGTGCAGTGATAGGTTCCCTTTATGGAGATATCAGGAGTCTATAAGACCCCTAATATCTCCCCTGCACTTGACCCCGAGTTGATCGAGGACAACAGCAGTTGGCTGTCATCTAATAGCCGCAAACCTGTACATGCTCAGAGCAGAGCGCTTCCACTGTACAGAAGAAGGTTGGGAATATGATCTCTCCTCCGAACCTGCTCACCATACTGAAGTCTTTTTTTGTGGTCCCGGGAGGAGTAGGAAAGCCCAGGAACCATAGAGGGGGTTGCAGGGGTGGAGGGACAAACAGCTGCTACATGTGGTAGACATCATGCGCAGTAAGAAATTAAAAGGAAGTAAGCAAGCTGGAATTGTCCACACACCTGTTCCAGCACCTTGTATACACATGCCTGGTCCAGGTCAGTAACTCTTAGGGCCCACTCACATGTTTGTTGTGGTAATGTGCCCTTTACCACAACATACATACATCGGGGCGCTGCAGCATCATTTATTTTGAAAGGCACCCCAACGCAACTTCACACCACACCTGTGCAAAATTATTTGAATCACTTATGATCAGCATCACCACCAGACAACTAGCTTATTCAGGGCAGGGCAGCATTGAAATCTTCCATGTTTCTTTCAGGAATGGTTCACTTTAGATTGTAATGATTTTAAACACAAAAGGGGAGAATTCATCAATACTGGAGCAGAAGAATCTTTAGCAGTTGCCTATGGTAACCAATCAGCTTCTCTCTTCAGTTTGTTCAGTTAAGGTTTGAAAATAAAAGGTGGATTGGTTGCCATGCACAGCTGCTCCAGTTTTGATAAATTCCCCTCAAAGAGATCTTATGAGGCTTCATATGATAAGGAGCTCACAAAGCACTTATCAGTACCAGAAGCCCTTCTCCTGTATGTAGCCCTTCCTTGCAGCACTATTAATAACACCTTCCCTGACTTCCTCAAGCTCTGACATCAGGATCAGTGCACAAAGCTGCTGTCATCACCCACCACAATCATGCGAAGGAATACAGACACAGATTATGGAGCTGAGGGAAGAAACTGCAGAAACCTGAGGGTGCTCCAATCTGGGACCGCTGCGAGTATAATTTCACCATCACATATCCATCATCCTGTCTACATCCCAATGAACAGCCATTCCTTCTATTTACTTAAAAAGATCAGTGTGCTAATGCTGAACTGAGACATAAAATGATGGTCACATGATCGAGGTGGGATATGATTCAATCTGTGACCTCTGCCGACACCCCTGTCATTCATGTGCAATATGTATTCCCAGCCAATCACTGGGCTGGTGCCATACTTGAGTGGCAAACCATATATAGCAAAATTTTTGGAGCTTGGAACCTTCAAACATCTTAAAATGCTACATTTACTGCCTAGAATCAAATTTCTAACCCTGTATTTGCCAACCTGTGATCCTTTTGTATTTCTGCTGCCTTCAGACAGCAGTGGGAGCACTGGTTGGTAACAGATCTGGAATAACAGTTACACATCCCCAGTTATGTTGCATGTCCACACTCTCTGATGGTCTTTTGCAGAATTACATATAATGATTGTGTGGTGGTGTCAAGGGCCACAGCTCAAGCTCCATATTCATTAAGAGTTGACCACCACTGCTCTAAAACAGGGGTAGGCAACCGAGGCATTCCAGCTGTGGTGAAACTACAAATCCCATAATGCCTTTGGAAGTCATGCCTGTGCCTGTCAGAATCTTCCAATGCATTATGTGACTTGTAGTTCCACAAGAGTTAGAGTGCTGAGCTTACCTGCCCTGCTCTAACCCCTCAATCCTAATAACTGAGACCATGATTTTACTCACCCCACATTGGGTAGTCCAACTATACCAATCTTCAGAGAGGTCCCAAATCGTCCAATGATAGGATGCTGCTTTGGTCCATCATCTACTTTCTTAGGAGGCATCTAAAACGTAAGCCAAAAAAAACTTATTCTCTAAGGCAGCCAACTGATATTAATACATGGGATTAATAATCACCCCTCCCCCTCAGGGAGGGAGAGGGCACCTCCCTGAAATGAGAAGGGCCCCTCCCTGAAATTACTTTGTTCAGGTTGGGATGCCTGTATCATCATTATATAGGAATGAAAACCTTTGCTGACGGAGCAATTTTTTCCTTTTTGTACATACATGCACATTAAGCCCTCATTCACACGACTAATAGCCGGCCCGTACAGATCCATGCTGCATGCATGGCCGTATCGGGCTGCTCTTGGAAAGGGCAGGTGCCATACGCTCTCCCGAACTGCACAGGTGTCCCTGCTCGGATGCAGACAGGATCCATCCTGTCTGCGTACGAGTACGGACAGCCACACGGACGTGCAGTTCGGGTGAGCGTGCGGCTGAACGTACAAATCACACGTGTCACCTGTCCTTCCCGGGAGCAGCCTGGTGCAGCCGTGCACGCAGCGGGCCAGCTGTTAGTCGTGTGAATGAGGGCTAAGATGCACATTTTGGGCCATAAGATTACTTATAACCTTCAGAAACATATTTTCTGAACGCAGAGGTCCTGTAGACATAAAAGGTGGTAGTGGCAAAGTTTTGTGCCACATGACTTTTGCACAACTACGTCTCAAACCTGTAATTTCTGCACAAAATACACTAAAATTAATTCCAGCGCACAAAAACACAATAGCATCTCCAATTTTGTGTTGTGTAAAAAATACAAATTTAGAGTTAGCCATATATCACGGCCCCAGAATTATTCCTCTCACTCCAGTGTGCAAGGTTTTACCCATCATGTATTATATATGTGTATGCATTGTAGGTGTATATACTTTTATGTCCGTGCAGGTGTGTGGCTTCTTTACATCTTTTTTTCTTCAATTTATCTTATTCAGTTATTTTTTTAACTTCCCTTTTATTTATTAATTTTTTCTTCACATTACAGTATTAGTATTGTAATAGCATTGTGCAGTGATAGGTTCCCTTTATGGAGATATCAGGAGTCTATAAGACCCCTAATATCTCCCCTGCACTTGACCCCGAGTTGATCGAGGACAACAGCAGTTGGCTGTCATCTAATAGCCGCAAACCTGTACATGCTCAGAGCAGAGCGCTTCCACTGTACAGAAGAAGGTTGGGAATATGATCTCTCCTCCGAACCTGCTCACCATACTGAAGTCTTTTTTTGTGGTCCCGGGAGGAGTAGGAAAGCCCAGGAACCATAGAGGGGGTTGCAGGGGTGGAGGGACAAACAGCTGCTACATGTGGTAGACATCATGCGCAGTAAGAAATTAAAAGGAAGTAAGCAAGCTGGAATTGTCCACACACCTGTTCCAGCACCTTGTATACACATGCCTGGTCCAGGTCAGTAACTCTTAGGGCCCACTCACATGTTTGTTGTGGTAATGTGCCCTTTACCACAACATACATACATCGGGGCGCTGCAGCATCATTTATTTTGAAAGGCACCCCAACGCAACTTCACACCACACCTGTGCAAAATTATTTGAATCACTTATGATCAGCATCACCACCAGACAACTAGCTTATTCAGGGCAGGGCAGCATTGAAATCTTCCATGTTTCTTTCAGGAATGGTTCACTTTAGATTGTAATGATTTTAAACACAAAAGGGGAGAATTCATCAATACTGGAGCAGAAGAATCTTTAGCAGTTGCCTATGGTAACCAATCAGCTTCTCTCTTCAGTTTGTTCAGTTAAGGTTTGAAAATAAAAGGTGGATTGGTTGCCATGCACAGCTGCTCCAGTTTTGATAAATTCCCCTCAAAGAGATCTTATGAGGCTTCATATGATAAGGAGCTCACAAAGCACTTATCAGTACCAGAAGCCCTTCTCCTGTATGTAGCCCTTCCTTGCAGCACTATTAATAACACCTTCCCTGACTTCCTCAAGCTCTGACATCAGGATCAGTGCACAAAGCTGCTGTCATCACCCACCACAATCATGCGAAGGAATACAGACACAGATTATGGAGCTGAGGGAAGAAACTGCAGAAACCTGAGGGTGCTCCAATCTGGGACCGCTGCGAGTATAATTTCACCATCACATATCCATCATCCTGTCTACATCCCAATGAACAGCCATTCCTTCTATTTACTTAAAAAGATCAGTGTGCTAATGCTGAACTGAGACATAAAATGATGGTCACATGATCGAGGTGGGATATGATTCAATCTGTGACCTCTGCCGACACCCCTGTCATTCATGTGCAATATGTATTCCCAGCCAATCACTGGGCTGGTGCCATACTTGAGTGGCAAACCATATATAGCAAAATTTTTGGAGCTTGGAACCTTCAAACATCTTAAAATGCTACATTTACTGCCTAGAATCAAATTTCTAACCCTGTATTTGCCAACCTGTGATCCTTTTGTATTTCTGCTGCCTTCAGACAGCAGTGGGAGCACTGGTTGGTAACAGATCTGGAATAACAGTTACACATCCCCAGTTATGTTGCATGTCCACACTCTCTGATGGTCTTTTGCAGAATTACATATAATGATTGTGTGGTGGTGTCAAGGGCCACAGCTCAAGCTCCATATTCATTAAGAGTTGACCACCACTGCTCTAAAACAGGGGTAGGCAACCGAGGCATTCCAGCTGTGGTGAAACTACAAATCCCATAATGCCTTTGGAAGTCATGCCTGTGCCTGTCAGAATCTTCCAATGCATTATGTGACTTGTAGTTCCACAAGAGTTAGAGTGCTGAGCTTACCTGCCCTGCTCTAACCCCTCAATCCTAATAACTGAGACCATGATTTTACTCACCCCACATTGGGTAGTCCAACTATACCAATCTTCAGAGAGGTCCCAAATCGTCCAATGATAGGATGCTGCTTTGGTCCATCATCTACTTTCTTAGGAGGCATCTAAAACGTAAGCCAAAAAAAACTTATTCTCTAAGGCAGCCAACTGATATTAATACATGGGATTAATAAGTATACCTTTTTCGGAGCCATGGTCTAATTTTTTTATCAAAAATGAGACCAGAAAGTCCACTCCAGAGCACTTAATCCACATTTAAATGAAACTCATTTTAAATCTAATGATTTCTTCAAACCAAAGTGCAAGCTGCAGGAACAGACACCCTACAGGCTAATAATACCAGAGGGGCAGAGTGCAGCCGCGGAGCAGATACGCTGAGAAGTCACTTTCTAAACGTGACAGCTGACGCCATCAATATGGCCAACTGACAGCATCATGTGTGGCACGCTGCCAACTCGGAATCCTTACCAGAAATGTTCTACCGCGCTGCACAAAGTCATGAATGGAACAGGCAAAACATTTCACCTTAGAACTGGTTCTGCTCTGATAATTGTTTTATTTTTGTTTCAAAAATATTTTAGTGTTGTTGAAGAACTCATTTAGTTTCAAACAATTCTTCTGCTTCATCCCATGAGTTGTACCTGCTGGTTTAATCTGCAGCAGCAGGAAGCCGTAGTGTATAATCCCAGCCAAACAAGGAGTGGTTAGAACTATGTGGTCAGATCCAGACAGAAGCCAGATGCCTACAACACCTCTGCTATGATATGCCTTTTATGTAGTGCTGAGGATATCCCCTTTATAGGGATTCATACATAGGAGAAAGGCTGCCAAGGGGTTCCCAAACTATCGGCTTCTAATCGCAGGGGTTGGCAACCTCAGCACTCCAGCTGTTGTCGAACTACCAACCCCATGAGGCATTGCAAGACCGACAGCCACAGGTATGACTCCCTGAAGCATAGACATGATGGCATTTGTAGTTTTTCTACAGGTGGAGTGCCGATATTGCCTAACCCTGTTCTAATGTATAATCTGCACTAGAAGCAGAGCCTAAGACAGCATCTCTTTGGGCATGGCCGCTCTGCTCCACAATATTTGTGCTGTGCCTGCCGCTCCCTGACTAGCCAGACAGGTTTCTAGCCAGATAGGTCCCTAGACAGGGAGCTGTTTAAGGGCCATACACATCTCCCCACCCAGCTCTTGGCAACCTGGGACACTGGTTGCCAGGAGCTGGGAAGATCCGAGCCATTGCCCCAACCATGCACCTAGGAGGACAACAATCCACCGGAAAAGACACACACACACACAATTTAGGAGCCACAGTCTGCTATTCAATTAAGAACAACTCCAGGTAAACATTTTATTAACCTTTTCAGTGGAGCTACTCCCACACTGCAAGGGTCAAATGCTTGTTATTGCCCAGGATCAAAAATAACAATGTTACACTCACCTGATCCTCTGATAGGGCAGCTGCACAGTGCTCCCTCCTGCCTGTCTCCTCCTCCGCTGCAGCGTGGTGGTATGTCCCTCAGTATCTTCACCTCCTATACCTATACACTGTAAAAAAAATGATGGCTCAGAGACCTTAGACCGCTGCAGCAGAGGGGGAGAGAGGCTCCAGGGGCTGGTCTATGAGCAAGCTGGCTCACATGATCAGGTGAGGAAATCATTTTTGACCCTAGACGGTGGGATAGCCCCCACACCAAGGGTTTTAAAAAAAATTACTCTGAGTTCTGCTTTAAATCTGGCAAAACATGTTAGAATCCGATTGTACAAACTTGATTTGATTTTCTAGGTAGGGCCTTACCCTCAATTTTTGTTGGCAAATCTAAATGTGGACACAAACACATCAGGGCAGGACAAATCCCAGGAGCCCTATTCTCTACAGAACAATTATAGCTGACACCCAACTTTTGAGGTTCTCTCCAATTGTTGTCAATGTAGCTGACTCCTAAAAAAAATGCAGCTTGCTCCTGAACTGGACAGACTGGCTTGTGAATTCCATATTCATTTGTCCACCATACAAAAATGTAATCTGAGGTCCTACCTAATATCTATTACATTTATAGCCAGATAGGCCCTCATATATACAGCCAGCTTAAAGGGCATGTATAGCCAAAACGTTTTTGTAGATGTTTTGGGTAGAGAAGGGAATGGTTAAAAACTGTCAGATTATTTTTTGTTGTGTACCATTAGGGAGAATTTCTGTTCACTTCCTGTACCAGAGGTTCAACCGAAAGTTAGGAGGAGCCCTTCCCAACGCTATCCAAAAATTCTATATAAAAAAAAGAAGAAAAAAAAAGAAGGTTTTTCCAAAAGATGTACTTCAGACTGTAAAATGTGTGGTCAGTTTTCAATAATGTACAACTGCAACCAAAGATAGGCAAATCTATATAATTAGGGCCCATTCACACTACATCACCTCAAGACCAGACTGTTTGCGGATCCAAAATGCATCCCAATGTATCCCTATGCTATTTCTGGCCTCTGTTGCCACCAGTACAGTCCGTTCCAGACCAGAAAAATACTGCTTGTAAAAAAAAAAAAAAATCCAATAGCGGCAAATTTGCGATGCACTATGTTCCAGATCTGGTGTGAACCCAGCCTTATATCTATATATTTCCTTGAAAGATGATGGTGAATGCACCCCTATGCCACGCCCACGTCGCTCCAGACCTGCAGCCATAGGTATTAAAAGTGTGAGAATGATGAAAAACCGCATCAAAACAAAAGGTCTGCAAAGTCATAGATTTTTTTGTTTTCTCCAGAAAGCAGTCACTGCCTGAGTAGAAATGCCTGTCCCCTGCCAGCATGCTGCAAAGTGGGACCCTTGCTCTTTGTAGAAGCAGAGATCTCTCTGCAGAGGTCCAACACGCCAACGACTGAGTCAGTGAAAAGCTGGCCATACACCTTGCGATTGTCGTTCGAATTCTTTCGTGCTCTCATCAATTTCTGCTCGAATACCCCATCATGCACAGACCAATGTCGATTTGGATTGTCGCTCGTTAGCAATACTAACTGGACGAATTTCAATCGATCGACAGAATGGATTTTTATTTGTGAATGTGCTGTGTTCATGTTGCAATTTTTTTCATACGAAAACGCCACTAATCCATCGATTTCCGTACGATTCGAAATGTTTTGCAGCCTGACCAATTAAGGAAATTATGCCCGTTGTACAGTAATTCTGATGGTTCACTTCCCATTAACTGGCCGATTATCATACAAAAACCTGATCGTGTTCGATTTCCGAACGATAATCGCTAGGTGTATGGGCACCTTAAGGCTGGCCATACACTGATCAATTGTTTTCCTTCAACCCGCGGGCTGAACGAAAACAATTGACCCAGTAACAGCGTGTCGATCAAGGAATCCCGATGTCTACATTGTATTCTGACAAGTGCCGCCGGGACCTGGCAGAATACGCAACCAGAGTGTGCAGCTCGTTGTGATCGATCGAAGATTTTCCGACTGGATCCTTCCATCAGCTGATTGAGGGAATGCTGATCGAAAGGGTGCCGACAGCGGCACACACTGTGCGCATTTGGCCGGTCCCTCCAAAAACGTCTGAAATTTGAACAGTGTATAGGCACCTTCAGAGCTCTCTAATCAACAGGGAGTGTGAGCTTTGTTGATTGGAGCGCTCTACGTCTGACTAAGCACGGGGTGTGACGGATCTCTGCAACGAGACCACTGCTTCCACACAGAGAACAAGGGTCCTTCTATGGCTCGGCCAGTCTTGACTTTTTAAAACAAGCCGTGACTGCTTTAGCCCTCGTTCACACCTGAACGTTTTGTAGCGCGTTCTACGCTAGACGAACGCTCTACCAAACGCTCAAAAATATAAATCCCATTGTATTCAATGGTCTCGTTCCCACCTTGGCGTATTTCCGCCCGTCCCTAACGCGCTACAAAACGGCCTACGCCTGAAAAGGTACATGTACTACTTTGGGCCGTTTTGTTGCTCGTTTCCATTGGGATACAGCCAAATAGCCTTCGGAAACGTGCAACTTTTTTACCGCGAATCGCGGTAAAAAAAAGTTGCGACAGACGCGTATATGCAATACACGTAGGTGTGAACGAGACCTTAAGGAAACAAACTTTAGGACATTGAACATGATGCATTTAGAATGTATTTAGCTGATTTAAACTGAGAGTTTACAAGAGTCATTCGTAAGGTGACCATACATACACTATATGAATTTGACAGTTCGTGATGAACCAGCCGAAATTGGCACAGTGGTTGCCACTGTTTGCACCCTTTCGGACGGTATCCCTCGGTCAGCTGATCAAATAAGCCAGTCTGAAAATCTTTGAATCAACAGAGCCGGCACCAATGGGCTTCTGGCTCAGTTTGGGCATTCTGCAAGCAGGCTGCGGCCACTGTCAGAATACAATGCAACCATGCAGGAGATTCCTCGATCAATGCTCATATTGATGGAGGAATCTGTACTATTTTCTTCATTCAGCCCACAGGTTGAACAAAGAAAATATTAGTGTATGGCCAGCTTTACTTGAATCCTGGTGTGCTTTGTGTATTTCTTCCAGATCTGTGCAATAGCAGGAGCTTCCTGTAATAAAGAGCAGTCTCTGCTGCTCCCTCTTGTTGTACAGGGTAACTGGTCTTGTCCCCGCCTCTTCCTGTAGTTTTTATTTACAGGTTGCCTGTAGTGGGTGGGACCTGCTGGGTCCCTCCCACAGCTCTGCCCAGGTGATGATGTCACTGGTACAAGCTAATATTTGGGTTTACACAGGCAGCGTGTGTGGGGATTTAACTAATATGTGGCCATTGAGGAATATAAAGTGGAACTTAAGTTATGAGCAGAAAGAACTTTTATTGCAGAAGAGACATACTATGGATGGATCCTCCTTGCAAGACATTTTAGAACTGGGGTGGGCAAACTCCAGCCCTGCAGCTGTTGTGGAACTACAAATCCCATGAGGCTTTGCAAGATTATCACTGCCACAGGCATGACTCCCAGCGACAAATGCATTTGTAGTTAAAAGCACAGCTAGAGGGCCGGAGTTGCCCACCCCTGATTTAGTATGTGCAATGGGCTGCATATGCACAGCTCAGTGTATATTCCCAGCACACGTTGATGCCAGGATGATTGAACTCTCGTGCACATGCATTGGAGATGCATCAAGCCAAGCAATAAATATGGCGGAAGACCTTGAAAATTGGAAAAGACCGGGGAGATGTAGTCACCGGCAAGGAAGCTCACAGACGTTAGTATTGGAGGGTTTAGTTCTGCTGACAATGAAAGTGTTTGTGCCCGGAGTTCAATTTTAACTCTCTGCTCTGGAAATTACAGATTTGGTGGTTTGGGAGAAGAAATGTTCTTCTTAGTAATAGTCTGCTCTCTGTTCAGAAAACACTCGGAGACAGGTGAGAACGGCGATCTATGAGTAAGGAAACAGATCTATTACAGCAGATCTATCAGCATGTGGAAATCTCTTCTTCCAACTGTGCGTTCACGATCATGTGACCACTGCCAGAGAAGCAGGATCAGTCCTACCATTGGCTGGCATTGTACAGTATAGTAGGATCACCCTAATGCAGGGGTGGGCAACTCTGGTCCTCCAGCTGTGCTTTAACTACAAATCCCAGTGTTGTCAGTCTTGCAATGCCTCATGGGACTTCTGGAGGACCAGAGTTGCCCACCCCTGCCCTCATGTATAGCATGGGCAGGTAAGATGACATATGCCATTCTCTTCCATCTTGGGTGCCCGGGGTCAGCATGTGATTCAGGAACTGCTGCTGAATGACTACAACAAGCTGCTGTCACTCAGCACAGCTACATGGAATTACCACCATTGAATGAATGACAGTCGCCGCTAAGGTGTTCTGCAGCAGCTGAGGCTGTGCCGGGCAGCAGACTCCTGACACGTGGGCACAGCGACTTGCCCGCGCACACACACACACACAGGAGGGACACGCCGCCTCACCTCCGCTCCGAGTCACGTGTCACTCCCGGGAATGATGAGCAGCGGCACGGGGCTTCCAGGGTCTCCTAGGCACGTTATGCAGCCGGCGTCCCAGAAACGGAAGAGGCGGGGCTACCGGAGCGACGCACACGGCGTGCGCACGTCCCATTGGCTGGTTGCGCGGGGTGAGAGGTCATTGCGACAGATGACTTCGGTGGGGAAGAGCACGCTGCTTCCTGTGCCTCACCCAGCGGGCCATGTGTGCACTGTGCGGGGCTGACAGCTGGGCTGCCGACCGGTTTGACTCAAGCACCTGTCTTCTCCACACCTGTCCACCTTTATAGCTCTGTATAAATAAATGTGACAACTTTACTGTAAATCTTGCCACAGTGGTCACAATCTGTACAATCTCCTTTAGCTCTAAAAACAAGAATAACGTGCCAGGGCCTGCCTGACTGAATATAAATGGATTTGATAGATAGATCAGGTAGTATCTCATGGTTTTGATAGGTATAAAGGTAATTGTGCAAAGATTGTATGATCATAGCGTGTATGGTGAACCTTAGATCTACTATGTAGTTCAAGAGCATGGCTGGCTGTATGCACATGGATAGATTCGGTAGGTCGTTATATTGCATAGTATTGGTAAATCTAAAATGATTCGTGCAAAGATTGTACTGCTGATTCCTAACCCCTTGCCGTCTGCCCATTGTAAAATTATGGGCAGACGGCGGATGCTTCCCGGCGGGTGGACGTACATGTACGTAATCTTTTTTTTTGGCGCGCGAGCAGAACCCCACTGGGAATCTAAACAGCCATTACCGGCTGTTATATACAACAATCGCTTGTATGGCTGTGCAATGCGTCCCCCTCTGCTGCCGTGCTCCACTGTCGCTGACGGTTATGCCGGGCTCAGCTGTCCCTCCTGCGAGCCTGGGACCGGCACAGCGACTGCCTGTACTGAGAAGGAGGAGAGATCAGCATTTCCCCCACCGCTGATCTCTCCTCTCTTTAAAGGTCGAATACATCACTTCCGCCTTTAGCTGTCATTTCTCTGGCTGAGAGCCAGAGAAGAAGCTGGTGAAGCAGATCTCTGCTTCATCAGCTTCCTTGGGGGTTCCTAGGTGACCTTCAGGGGTCTTAGAGACCCCTGATGTTTCCATAAAGTGGACCTGTCAGTGTATATTGGTTATCACATAGGGGGCTAACAAGCAATCAAGTTAAGTGTAAAAAAAAAAAAGAAAGTCCCATATGAAAAAAAAAACACGAAAAAAGTTTTAAGTCCCACACACATGCACTTATAAACATAAATACGCATCGGGTGCGCCAACGTGGGGAAACAACGATTACGCCACACATGTTACATATCGCCGCAGTGTGAGCAATAATTGTAGGGCCATCAATCACTTATAAAACTAAACTGATAAACGGTAAAAGCTTTTAAAGCGTCGCCTATGGTCAATTTTAGGCATGGTAGTTTGCGATTTGGCGGTGCATGCAATTTTAAAGCTTGACATGTTGACCAATTTGAAGCCGTCTTTTATATTTTACCAAGGATTTGGATGGTAATAACGGTTTTATAACATAAAGTAGAGAAACAGGGTTTTTTTCAGAATTTGTGGTTATTTTTTCATTGTATAGTAAAAAATAAAAACCGCACTGGTGATTAAATACCACCAAAAGAAAGCTCTATCTGTCCCCAAAAAATGGTATAAAATGTATTTCAGTACAGCGTTGCATGACGGAATAAATGTCAGTCAAAGTACCGCAGCGCTGAATACTGAAAAATGGCCTGGCCAGGAAGGGGGCTTACTACCCTGGTCAGCAAGTGGTTAAAGTGACACTAAACTCAGAAATTAAACCGTAAAATCACATTCAAGTACCCTAATGGGACAAATATCTTATTTGTGTATCACTCGGCTGTAGATCCTCAAATCATCTCTGAAATGGTGCTGACACCGTCCTTCCTTATGAAGGGTGGCTACTTTTGTTCCCCATGGTCTCTGTGTGTTGTAAAGTAGCCACCGCTCCAAGCTCACTCCTGTGATGGACTACAATCTCAATACAAATAAAAAACGAATTAGATTGTAGTCCATCTCAGGAGCGAGCTTGGAGCGGTGGCTACTTTACAACACACACCACGAGGGACAGTTGGGAGCTATGCATTAATGCTGGTGTGTGTATATGATCATTGCTGAAATCGCCTTCTATCATGTAACAGTATCAGACAATTTAGGGCTGATTCCATTTTTAATGTAGACGCAAGTCTAAGAAATTAGGGCTGGTAATGATTCAAATTTTCGTGTTCGATTAATCGAAAAAAATTTTAATGGATTAATTATAACACACATACAGATCCAACTACATTGGCCTATACACATACACCACAGCAATGAAGTAATAAAATGAACTAGGATCACACTAATCCAGCACGTTATTAATCTCACGTGCCCCACTCAATATGGCCGCCGCTTGAGTGGGGCAACTGAGAATAATAACGTGCTGGATTAGTGTGATCCTAGTACATTTTATTACTTCATTGCTGTGCTGTATGTGTATAGGCCAATGCCTTGGCTGGCGCGCGTGCAGAAAGTTTCTTGGGCAAACTCACCGGCCAAGTGGCTCCGTCTGCTAACGAAGGAGGGAGGAGTCGGGTGACGTCACGGACATCGACGTCACCGGACTCCTCCCCTTCCCTTCGTTAGCCGTCACGGACATCAACGCCACCGGACTCCTCCCCTCTTCCCTCCGTTAGCCGACGGAGCCACTTGGGGAAGGAGTACGGTGACGTCGATGTCCGTGACGTCACCGGATCGCCGACGGGGCTCCCGGAAGCCGGCGGAGAGGTGAGTGTTTTCATTAGCGATCAAAATAATTTGAATCTATCAAAAAGTTTAACGATTAATCGAGAAATTAATCTCTAATTTCCACAGCCCTATAAGAAATGCAAACTTAGTAAAAGTGTTTTTTGCGGCATGCTTGTGAAGTCATCAACAAATGACCCAAAGCACATTGCCAAGCACATCGACAGCAATTGAAAGCCTCCAAATGGACCAATACCCCACCAACCTTGAAGAAGACATCTGATGTACCTGAACTTGGATGTGATGTTATTTGATGATCAGATACATTTGAAGCACATACAAGATCTTAGTCGTGTGTAGAGCTGCAACAGTTATTCGATTAAAATCGACGATGGAAAACGTTGCCAACGTTTTTGGTATTGTGTACTGCGCCACTGTATAATGTACTATATTGCACACTACACTCTTTTTTTACTTCCACCGCGCCAAGCTTGCTCCCGTGATGGACTACAATCTCAATAGAAACTAGTAGTCCATCACTGGAGCCTTTTTTTTTTTTAATCCGATTAATCGATTAATCGAACTTAATAATCGGCTAACTAATCAATTATGAAAATAATCGTTAGCTGCAGCCCTAGTCGTGTGGGCTGTCTCTGACTTGTAAGCAGAGCCACACACATGTGTTTAATAAACCTTATCTGATTTGTACCTACTCATAGACATTGCTGCATTGGTTTTTCACCAATCCCTAAACAGGTGGCTTTTTGACAGCTGAAATTGCAAGCTGGTACTTTTTTAGCTCACCAGGTAAACTGACATAATCCAAGGCCCTAGATGTGTCCCTCCCTCTAGACCTCGCTCATACTCTCCACCATCCCTTTGAGTTCTAGTGGATGACAGATCATCTCTCATATACAGGTATTAACCTTACGCAATCATATGATGCAATGGGGTTGATTTACTAAAGACAAATAGACTGTTCACATTGCAGGGGAAGTTTCCCCTTAGCTTAGTGAATGCCTTGAAAATTCACTTTGCAAAGATTAGCCAATCAAAGGTATAAAAAACAACAATATATTTTTGCTTGCACATGATTGATAATGTCCAGGGCTTGAAAAATTTTAGTGTGTCTCACCAGTCAGTCAAAAATTTTAGATTTTGTTTTTTTAAGAAACATGAGTAAAGCAATGTTTTATCATGCTGAGAGGCAGAGAAATGTGCCTGCTTATTAACGGCTGCCTGCACCTGAAATGTACTTGTATTGTTTGAAATGTATTTGTCTTGTCTAACAAAACTATACTTCAATAAAAATTGAATATTTAAAAAAAAAATGTTTTACCACTCAGCATGACTGGACTATGGCCTTGCAATTTTTGCCAACATTTTTTGGGGACACATAGAGCTTTCTTTTGGAGGTATATAATCACCCCTGAGGGGGGGGGGGGTATTTTTTTTACTATATAATGAAAACAGTACCATGAATTTCGAAAAAAATGTTTTCCCTAAGTTATGTTATAAAACATTTATTCTTACCCATATTTTTTGTGGGACTTTAAAAAAAAGTTCGTTTTTTTATGCTTAATTTTTTTTATGCTTCTTTAATTTTTTGTATTACTCTTTTTTTTTTTTTACACTTAACTTTATTGCTATCACATAGGGGGCTAAGAAGCTCCCTATGTGAAAGCCAATTTACATGACAGGTCCTCTTTATGGAGACATCAGGGGTCTCAAAGACCCATAATGTCACCTAAGGACCCCCAGAGAAGCTGATGAAGCAGAGATCTGTTTCAGCAGCTTCTCCCCTGCTTCTGTAGCTGGGAATGACAGCTGAATGCGGAAGAGATGTAATATACATCACTTCCTGCATTCGGGGACGGAGAAGAGATCAGAGGGAGATCGTGTACCGAACTCCCTTTGAATGACTGTCACAGAGCAGCCATGGCGGTCCCGGCCTCACCGGGCACAGTGGATCTCGGGAACGGCAGTGACGATGGTGGCTGCAGGGGGAGGGAGTAAATCCGCACTTAATACAAGCGACCGATCGCTTGAATGTAAGGCTCACGGCCGGCCGTTTAATGGCCGGCCGGGAAGGTACTCGTCTGGCTCTGGCGTCCTCTCCTCACAGACAAGAGGACGAGCTGATTTTTCAAGCCCTGCTAATCACGTTTTGAAGGGACAGGTTTCCTCAATTTCATATAATATGTGATCCTGGGATCACCTGCCTTCTGTCCACAAATTCTGACCACTCCCTACTAAGCGTGTAACTAATGGAAAGATTGACCTCAGACTTGTCTTTTACCAACCTTCTGGATTCTTCTGCCCTTCTACGTCCTGCAACACCTCAACGT